AATCAACGTGTTTCAGAAAGGCGGGGCATAGAGGAGAAACAATAATGTACAGTATGTGGAAAATAATGCGTTTTTTTAACCTTAAACCGCATAAACACATTTCATTACACCAAATACACAAAATAATGTTCTTTTTAGCAGCATCATATGACCCCTTTAAATGTTCCAATACACCCCCTTCACCCACCCAAAATGATTTTAGTATTTATTTACGTTAACTGTTCGAAGAATCGTTCAGAACGCGCCTATTTTGCCCAGAGTGATTCACATGTTCCTTTTACTCTAAAAGGCTTTGAACGTTTGTTTTGAATCTTTCAAATGCACATGTGATGCTCTTGAAATCTTTTAATATTAAATCTGAATGTTTCAAATGTGCCTCTAATATGCACAATTTTCCCAAACATTCTGTTGAAGTTGCATGTGATGTCCAAAGTGCTGCCAAGTTTGATAGTTCACTGAGATCGTTTGTTTTTTGAGTTCTGCATTCTTAAAATCAGATATTGCAATATTGATTGCTTACACTTTCTACACATAAACAGGCTACACATAAACGCAGAACTTGTTCAGATCGTTCAGCATATAAAAGACAAATTCATGTTTTTTTGTCATTGTTACATTTGGCTTTGACTGGTTAGAAACTCTTAAAAAGAAGAAAACTGAGCTCATTAAATCTTTTCTCATGTCATCATCCATGTGTATAGTTGTTGATTTGACGTTAATATCTTTTGTGCTGTTATGAGAAAAATGTATTGATGTCATAGCATTGCCAAACATCTTCATTTTATCTTCCTCTTCAGTGAATTTGTTGAAGTAGCATTTCTAGGTATTTACAACAATCTTTTCTCATGGCCCATCATTTCCTTTATGAAAACTGGCACTCAGAGTAAGGGTATGTTGTAAGCCTAACCAAAATGATCAAGATGTATTACTTCCACTTTCCTAAGTTCACAACCTAGCAATATTCGCCTGGTTTCTCTACATAGGATTTGTTGCTATGTGAAACCACTTTTTAAATTAAATTATAAAACCTAATGACCTTCTGCGGTATTCTCTTTTCTTTATAAAATTGTAGTTTCAAAGAAATCTCTCGTTTGGTGAATAGGGTTGCATCACTATCAAAAGCTGAGAGACCAATACCAGAGAATCAGTTTTTGGTAAAACAAGACTTTTTTTTTCTTCTTTCTCCTTTATTTAAAGCTAACATTTGATTTCTGATCCGTGGTTGTCACCAAAACAAATTGCAAAAATAAGGGTGTTTTAAAACTTGTTTCCCAAAGACTCACTCATCTATCACTGGTCAATAAACAGTTCAAGTTCAAGTCTGCTTTATTTCAGTTATTCCTGAATCAAACTAAAAGCATTTGTTACGCTAATTTTGCTATGCCAGGCCACTAGAAACGGTGTCTTTATCTCTGCATATTTAACTAAAATAAGAGAAAGTATTTAAACTACTGTTCAGAAGTTTGGGGTCAGTATGATTTTTATTTTTTTTATTATTTCTTGAAAGAAATTAATACTTTTATTCATCAAAGATGCATTAACTGAATCAAATGTGACAGTAAAGAGGTTAGTAATGTAAATAAAAAATATTTTCATTTTAAACTAATTCTGTTCCTTTGAACTTTTTATTCAAAGGAAAGGAAACTTTTTAAAATGCAACTGTTTGCATGAAAATATTAAGCAAGACAACTGGTTTCAACATTGATAATAATCAGAAATGTTTTTGAATCAGCATATCAGAATGATTTCTGAAGAATCGTGTGACACTGAAGACTGGAGTAATGATGCTGAAAATTCAGCTTTGATCACAGCAATAAATTACATTTGGCAATATATTCACATTTAAAACAAATATTTTCAACTGTAATTAATATTTTACAATGTTTCTGTTATACTGAAAAATTATGAATTATAATCCCAAACTTTTGAATGGTAGTGTATATAAAAACCAATTGAAATGGGGGGGGATAAATACTGCACGATAAATCGCATGCAGTTATCATTGAATTGTTGATTCATCTGCAACTATGAACGTGATATTGCGTAGCTTGTCAGTGAACTACGGCTCTGTGTAGTAAATGCTGCTCCATCTGAAAGCATGTGCTGGAGATTTACTACTAATCACAGAACCGGCTGTACTGACGAGATGCACATGACAATCGCATGCGATTTTTATCGTGCAGCCCTAATATATATGTACATATAGTTGAATTAAAATTAGTCAAAAAACAAGATGGAGGTTTGTATTCTTATCCCTGAAGTTTGTGTTTTACAGAGTCTGTTCTTGATTTCTGCTTCTCTCCACTCAGGAAACTCCTCGCCCCCCTTTCCTCTCCTGTTTCCTAAGCTTCTCTGTCCCCTGCCCCTCATAGTCAGCCCAGAGACCCTCTTCCTAAAGGCCAGTTAGGAACGTTGGGTCTGTTCCTCCCCATTCTCCCAGCCTCCATCTGTCTCTCTAACTCCACCTGCCCACTAAGGGGCTGACCGCTTATTGGACACCTCAGAAACATGTCCTCCATCTTGCCTTTCACTCCGCCCGTGGTGAAGCGTCTGCTGGGCTGGAAGAAGTCGGCCAGTGGTTCGAGCGGAGCGGGAGGGGGCGGAGAGCAGAACGGCCAGGAGGAGAAATGGTGCGAGAAGGCCGTCAAAAGCCTGGTGAAGAAGCTGAAGAAGACGGGCCAGCTGGACGAGCTGGAGAAAGCCATCACCACACAGAACTGCAACACCAAGTGTGTCACCATTCCCAGGTACGCCAACCTGGAAAGCTGACCGCATTCCTGTTTTAAGGACAATGTCATCTTAAATTTGTCAATCTAACACGAATTCGAAAACATAAGGGAAAGAATGAAAATTGTTGTTTACTCATCCTCTTGTTGTTCAAGAATCAGGTGAATTGTTACAGTTTGCTTAAGAATTAGTGGTCGACCGATGTATCGCCAATACTGCCAATTTGACATTTAATTCTCAGCATCGGCCAATATTTTTTTTTTTCTGTTTGGCTGATATTTCGGATACTTTTATTTTGACACTTCTGTGAATGCCAGCTCCTGATAGCATGGCGCTCCTGCTCCTGTCCTGACGCTCATTGCGTGGTGTATGTGAAATTAACACTAACTTGTCTTTATTTGAAAATGTTTTTTCTAGTGCGCACAAACCCGATTACCGAGTGCACTGTTGTTAAGTGTTGACTTTCTTTTTATTCATATTTTTAACAATTTCTTTGTGAAAAATACTATAATAGAATTGCTGAATCAACCTTGTTATTCATGTTTTCCCCCCATTTTTAAATGATTTAATTTAGAAAGTAGCAGTGTTGGGGATAGTTACTTTTAAAAGTAATGCATTACAATGTTGCATTACTCCATGAAAAAGTAACTAATTGTGTTACTTTTTATGGAAAGTAATGCATTGCGCTACTTTTTGTCACATGGGCTGGGGTGCTTATTTGTTTTAACTAACAAAAAACACCAAAAGTTATATTTTTGGCAACTGTAAAGGCCCTTTCCCACCAAAAGTGAAATGAATAAGCCTCAGGCTGAAGGAAGTGCCTCTGCACCTCACTCCAGATTTCTCTCAACATGGGGACAGGAGAGCTGTCAGTGAATAAATTGGAAAACAAAGTAACTTATTTGAAAAAGTAACTCAGATATTTAGTTGGAAATGTAAAAAAGTAATGAGTTAAAAGGTTACTTTATTAGTTACTTGAATAAAGTAATCTGATTACGTAGCTCGCTTTACTTGTAATGCATTACCCCCAACACTGTTAGGTAGTATGGAAGGTAAATAAATTTAATTTCAGTAATTATGCATGTTTTTTTGCTTTAAAAATTTTTTTTTTATATATATATATATATATATATATATATACACGTATATAGGCCACTCTGCTTTCTAAAATGTCAGCATCGGCTATCAAAAAATCCATAATCGGATAATCGGTTGTAAGAATAGCATAAGCTTGGAATTTTTTTTTTTATATATATATATATATATATATGTATATATATATACACGTATATAGGCCACTCTGCTTTCTAAAATGTCAGCATCGGCTATCAAAAAATCCATAATCGGCCGACTCCTTGTAAGAATAGCATAAGCTTGGAACAACATGAGGGCGAGTAAATATTGACTCCTTTTAAGATGTGTAGAATTGCAAGCCAATGAACTTTGTTCATTTGAGTCTTCATCTAATTATAAAGCAAGTCCTCTGAATCAGAAAGGCTTTTATTTAATTTTAGAAGTGACCTTAGCCGTATCACTGCGTATGTTGCTTCGTGAGTGAAGGTGAAGGCATGACGCTGAGTTGCGTCTACCGTTGTGAAATATCAGCATTGCCCCCCTTTATTTCTTCAAGTGATTTCTGCTCCATCTGTCTTGACTTGAGTTAAGGTCATTCTGTGCAGCTCCACATCACTTCCATTCTGAGCTCACAGAGGCTTCTCATGCTGTATGAATGTCTGCGATCTCAACCATCAGGCTGCTTTTATTCCATTTCTCATGACAAATGGTGGAATATCAGCGCTGCTATTTTAGGGAAATGCTCAGAGGAGAGGATGATGGAGGGCGGGTCGTGTGCCCGAGCCACAACATATCAATAGTTTGAAACCAATAGGTTATAGATGCACAAGGTTTGGGTGATATGTCTAATACATTGTTTTTCAGCCTTTTGGTGGTATAAATGCTCTGAAATGGCTTTAAAGATTTGATGTATGGTGAGAGCTTGTAAAAAAACAACAACAAAAAAAACAAGCTTTATATTTACATTTTTTCTAGGAATATCTTACACTTTTTTTTTTCATTCTAATAATGATTGAGCTTAACGTATTGAACCTGATATTTTTGGTAACTTTGTAAGGACCCGTTTATTAAGATTAGTTAACTACATTTGTTAACGTGAACTAACAATGAAAAAGTGTTTGTTAATCTTACTTGATATTAGCATACAACTTTTGATTTTAGTAAATGTTGAAATTAACATTATGTACCTAAGCTGACATGAACTAACAAAAAAGGTTGTATTTTTATTGAAGATTAATTCATATTCTAATACATTTCTTATTGTTAGTTCATTTTATTCAATGGATTAACTAATGACACCTTATTGTAAAGTGTTATCATATTTTTTTTAAATTTCTAACTTTATTAATATGACCTGAACTGATTTTAAATGCATTTAGACTTTTAAATGTCGATGTAAAACTAAAATCTATAAAATAATCTAAAGCTTTTCATTAGATGAATTCGTGAATTGTAATCAGTTTTAAGGATTTCCAGAATTGTAATCTACGGTGGCCGAGAGAGCTCAACGCGCTTCAAATGAAAAAACACATGCAAATTAAGAAAACATCTTCATCAATTTTGCCGATGTAAAACTAAAATCTATAAAATAATCTAAAGCTTTTCATTAGATGAATTCGTGAATTGTAATCAGTTTTAAGGATTTCCGGAATTGTAATCTACGGTGGCCGAGAGAGCTCAACGCGCTTTAAATGAAAAAAAACACATGCAAATTAAGAAAACATCTTCATCAATTTGACAACTCATGCGCTGCCAATTCTCACAACACAAACAAATGCAGAAACGCGCTGCAAATTCTCACAACACAAACAAATGCAGAAACGCGCTGCAAATTCTCACAACACAAACAAATGCAGAAACGAGATACAAATACACACAACACCAACAAATAAGCAATGCGCTGCCAATTCTCACTTCACAAACAAATGCAGAAACGCGCTGCAAATTCTCACAACACAAACAAATGCAGAAACGCGCTGCAAATTCTCACAACACAAACAAATGCGCTGCAAATACAAAACCAAAAACAGAAACGCGCTGCAAATACAAAACAAACGAATACAGAAACGCGCTGCAAATACTCACAACACAAACAAATGCACTGCAAATACAAAACAAACAAATGCAGAAATGCTCTGCAAATACTCACAACACAAACAAATGCGCTGCAAATACAAAAACAGAAACGCGCTGCAAATACAAAACAAATTAATACAGAAACGCGCTGCAAATTCTCACAACACAAACAAACACGCTGCAAATGCAAAACAAAAACGGAAATCTTTAAGGGAAGCGCTTTTCTTTGTTTGTGTTGTGAGTATTTGCAGCGTGTTTCTGTATTTGTTTGTTTTGTGAGAATTGGCAGCGCGTGTGTTGTCAAATTGATGATGTTTTCTTAATTTGCAGGTATTTATTTATTTTTTTTCTATTTACAGCGCGTTGAGCTCTCTCGGCCACCGTAGTAATCAGTTATGTACCAATTAAACAATAAGTGATAACCGAAATCAGAATCATGTATTTTGAGATTACAGTTAAAAATTTGAGTTGCAGTGCAAATAATCTTTAAGAGCCACAATTGGTCAAAGTGCAAAAATCATTGTGCTATGTAAAATGTTTTTTTTATTTTATTAATTTAATAACACCAACATAATCACACACGTCAATATTTGCAAATATATTATATATCATCCATTCCTAAGATACACCACAGCTGATTTTAAGATTTAGATCATCTAGCAGTAATGTCGAGGTCTAGAACAGGTTCTCATTCTTTAACATCTAATACGCAGTTTAATTTTGGTGTGAGTTGCTAAACAAACTTGAAAAGGGCATAATCGCATTTCCTGGGCTGATTTAGTTGAAAGGTGTTGAAATGTATAATGCAAGCTTGTTGTAATGGCAAACGGGTATTATCCTTTGTCCTAGAGAGATTTATTTCCATTGAGTTCTTTTTGAATCAGTTTTAACATCTCAAATCCACTGAATCGGTGTAAGTGTATCATTTAACAAAAGCTGGCCACAATGCATATCTTCCTCCACTGTTGAAAAGTTGTGCAATGGTTATTGTGAAAATGCTGTGCGACTTGGCACTGTGCCTACATGCTTGATCAGGTTCACTTAGCAAAACCTCTCGGAGTGAATAGCCTACAGTAAATACAGGTTAAAATGACCTCCCTCCAGTTGAAAATTGTAGAAGTGAACATTAAATGTCTGCCAGCTATGGACTTAGACGTAGAACTCCGGTCAGACCTTCAGAAAAGTCATCCAGAGTGCTTTGTCTTCCCTTGAGAGTGGATTTAAAGGGTGGGAAACTTTGCTTGCAACATGTGTTTTCTGCTGCTAATCTGTTCTCTAACCTTGGAGGCTTGTGTGAACGGCTGGATCAGTCATTGTATTCGTCGGTTGTCATGTTTGGTAATGACAATGTCAAAAGCTTCCCCAACTGTCCTCTTCAGCCTCCTCACATACCTGTGAACTAAAAGCCCTATTCTTGGGTGTTTTCAATTTGACTTTGCTGTTTATAATAGGGGAGAATAGCTTGTAAATTAAACGAAGATTGATTTCAGATTTATGCTGCAAATCATGTCCAGTCAGACATCAGAATGAAACATTTTCTCCAGTGTTTTACCTGCCTTGAGTGAATTGTATACCATAATTTGGCAAGGGAAGTTGTGTAGAAATGGTCATATTTATGAAATGAGCAGATGTAAATGCCATTGCAACATCTAAATCGTTTGACGCCTGCTTCTTTTAAAGGGAGATTCTGTCTAAAAAAGTAAATTGTCATATCTTTTAAACTGTATGATATATTTTTTTACATACAATAGAAGTCAGTGGGCATCAATGGTGTTTGTTTGCCAAAGCATCTTGATGACTGCAATTAATTTTCATATTTGGGTGGAGTATCTTAACATTTAAACATCTTAAATGCATTCCACAGATTTTG